TCAGAAAATCCTGCTCCTCTGATGCTGCTTGGCCTGCTGTGTTCATCCAGCTCTGCACCTTGTTATCTCAGATTCTCCAACATCTGCAGTTCCTACTATCTCTGAGGCAAATATTCTTGCTAATTTTGCCAAGCAATCAACAGTATAGTGATTTAACATTTTATGGGCAGCTGTTACACATGCGCACAGCCATAACCGGTATTAACTATTGTCATTTCCAACCCTGATAGGTCATGCCAGTGTAGCTAATACAGGAGAGGTTAAAGCAGAATGAACTGCAAATATAAGATATGTTTAATTTCTTTTGGTAGTCTGTTGCATTGAGATTGTTCAAGCTTGCGACAAAGAAATTTCTAACATCAAATTAGAAGCTTTTTACATTCCACATAATTAGGCACCCCATTATTTAATAAAATTGCAGAGTTTTAATATCAGTTAATCCTGTTAAAATGATCAGCGTTCAGTGTTTTGCTGCTTATTTTGTATCATTGTATCATAAGCTTTTGGGAACCTCATGGATTTCTTAAAATGTCATACATTTTAGCTGATTCCAGTAAAGAAATAGGAAGAAAGGGTTTGACCATTATCTCATGTTATATTGAACTTGAACGTGTTAATGCAAATATGTGACATCTGATCCATTAAACCTAAAAGACAGCAACATTTTCTTTAAAAGAAAGGTTAAAATGTACATGTGCAAGCTAAAATTCGTAACTGAAATATAATTAAACTAAAATTTATAAAATTTAAAAATGGTCAGATCATTAAGTCTACGCATTCAGGAATGTAATTTTCAGCAGACTGCAGTGAGGGACTGATAGAAGTATCCATAAATAATTCATCTCTAACCTGAAAAAAATCAATTGCATATACATTCCAAGCTGCAATGTTTGCCATCATCGGATCCCAATTAAAGAATTTTTAAAGTAAGTGATGACTCCTGATCTACTTGTACTTTACAAATTTAACTTGAATTTCATGAACCAAATGTACTCTTTTTAATATTGCCCTTTTCAAGTTCACCCAAACCACTCAAGTGAGAATGAAAACCACTTCAAGGACAACATGGCAGCCTCCTAAAATGACTTTAAAAGTTTGAGTGAACTAAGTGTTATACATATTTGATATTTTCAAATATTAAGTAAAAAGATAAGTCAAGCCTATGTAAATTAATAAGTGCTTCATATTAAAAAATAGTATATCGAAATGATATTTTCAAAGTTCAAACCCCAGAGTGAATACTTGGGCATAAAATGAATGGTAGATGCTAAGCAACTGAAGTAAACCCATCAAAATTCATGCCACTTCTTATAAACTGGTTTTAGAAAGTATTAGTTAGAAAATTGATGCATACAGATATTTGAAATTGTTATTGGATATTCTGTAGGAAGATTTCAGTGTCAAAAGGTCACAGACCCATCCCTCAATACAGCTGGCACTTATCACAAATTATTCTATTTGAATTACTTTTAGAATAAAGTGCTGTTACCATCAGAATGACAATTATGCAAAAGAATGCTCATCTTTATGAATGTGGAGGTAATGTGTATTTAACTGCCTTGGCTATAAAAACATTTGACTCATTTTCCTGAACTGGTTAATATTCATCAACAAATGGACTAATCTCAGTCAATGAAAGGGCTTCCCTTCGAAAAAGGAATGTTAGTTTAGTACTGAAACAGCAACGTAAATTAATTAGTAGTAGTTTGTTCGAATAGACAATGAGTTATGTTTGGTGTTTACACAGGTAAAGAATAAGTTGTGGGCTCTCATTTAAGGCTTTTAAAGGGCAACAGTTGTAAAATTGTTGCAGCCTGGTGGCTCAGTGGTCAGCATTGCTGCCTTACCGTGGCAGGGATCTGTGTTTGATTCCACGTGCAGGTGACTGTGTGGAGTTTCTGGGGTCTCCATGTGTCTGTGTGGGTTTCCTCTCAGCGCTTGGGTTTCCTCCCACAGTCCAAAGATGTGCAGGTTGGATTGGCCAAGCTAGATTGCAAGAGAGTCCAGGGATGTTTGAGTTAGGTGGATTAGCCGTGGGAAATGCAGGGTTCCAGGCATAGGGTGGGGGGAGTGTATAAAGTGGTGTTCCGCAAGGGTCAGTGTTGGGACCACAACTTTTCACTTTTTACATTAATGATCTCGATGAAGGAACTGTGGGCATTCTGGCTAAGTTTGCAGATGATACAAAGATAGGTGGAGGGACAGGTAGTATTGAGGAGGTGAAGAGGCTGTAGAAGGATTTGGACAGGTTAGGACAGTGGGCAAAGAAGTGGCAGATGGAGTACAATGTTGGAAAGTGTGAGGTCATGCACTTAGGTAAGAAGAATAAAAGCATGGACTATTTTCTAAATGGGAAGAAAATTCAGAAGTCTGAAGTGCCAAGAGATTTGGGAGTTCTAGTCCAGGATTCTCTCAAGGTAAACTTGCAGGTTGAGTCAGTAGTTAGGAAGGCAAATGCAATATTGGCATTTATTTTGAGAGGACTTGAATATAAAAGCAGGGATGTATTACTGAGGCTTTATGAGGCCCTGGTCAGGCCACATTTGGAGTATTGTGTGCAGTTTTGGGCCCCATATCTCAGGAAGGATGTACTGGCCCTGGAGCGGGTTCAGAGGAGGTTCATGAGAATGGTCCCAGGAATGAGAAGCTTAACATATGAGGAACGTTTGAGGACTCTGGGACTATACTCATTGGAGTTTAGAAGGATGAGGGGGGATCTAATTGAAACTTACAGAATACTGAATGGCCTGGACAGAATGGATGTTGGGAAGATGCTTCCATTGGTAGGAGAGACTGGGACCCAAGGGCACTGCCTGAGAATAAAGGGAAGACCTTTTATAACAGAGATAAGGAGAAACTTCTTCAGCCAGAGAATGGTGAATCTATGGAATTCACTGCCACAGAAGGCTGTGGAGGCCAGGTCATTGAGTACATTTAAGACTGAGATAGATTGGTTCTTGATTATCAAGGGGATCAAGGGTTACAGGGAAAAAGCGGGAGAATGGGGTTGAGGAACTTATCAGCCATGATTGAGTCGCGGAGCGGAGTCAATGGACCAAAAGGCCTAATTTCTGCTCCTATGTCTTATGGTCTTATGGTTTTATGGAATGGGTCTGAGTGGGATGTTCTTTGGAGGGCCGAATAGCCTGCTTTCACACTTTGGGATTCTATGATAAAGATCAATCCCTCAAAATAGCATAATCTTGCAAAAACGCAACTACTGTTACAAAACCCGAATTTTGAAAGCTAGAGGTATGTTTAAGCAACTTCTTTCTTGTAAAAACAATCCCTATTCCATCTTTAAATTTTGTATGGAAAAACTGCAAGCTTGGGATCATAGAATCATATTGTGCAGATGAGGCCCTTCAGCCTATGGAGCTAGAAAATAATAAATTACTCTATAACCAATTTGTATAATTTTTATATCTCTAATGAACTTTGTGTTGCTTTTGGTACAACCTCTTAAATACTTAACCAATGTCTTACCCAAAAATTGTACGCACTCTTTCTGATGCACACATTGGCTGTCCAAAGTGGCGAATTATGCACATTAGGAGCAAAACTAATCTGTTACAAATTGGGGAGATTCTCAAACTTCCTGGTTTTGTGCCTTTACATCATATAGTTCCTTGCCTGCAAGTTTTTGTCTGTACTTTATATTATTTTCCTTTAGCCCCATGATTTCATGTTTTTGTAACATAAATGGATTCCTAAAATCTCCAGCCTCTTTCCATGTTGCCTGCTGTACCCTTGTCATTCTCTTCGTTTTGTCTGGAAATCTACTTCTTCCCCCAAATCTGTGACCTAATACTGCTACGTAGCCTCTCCAGTCCAGATGGTGATAATGATGCATACAAGCTGCTACTGAAATAACATTAATCCTATTTTGTCTACCATTTGTGAAAAGGATTTAAAGTTGCTGAGAAATGAAATTTGATTGGAGCTTTTGTCTTGTACATAGCAGGAAGGAAGTGATGGCCTAGTGGTATTATCACTAGACTATTAATCCAGAAACTCAGATAATGTTCTGGGTACACAGGTTTGACTATCACACTGCAGCAAATGGGGGACTAAATATCTGGAATTAGAAGTCTAATGATGACCCATGACACTGTTGAGCATTGTCTGAACAACCCATCTGGTTCACTAATGTCATTTATGGGATACAGCCCTTAACTGCCTTCTGAAGTGGCCAAGTAAGCCACTCAGTTGTAACAATCACTAAAAAGTCTTAAAAGAAATGAAACTGGACGGACCATTTGGCATCTACCAAGACAGTGGCAACGAAAATAATCAATACAGCTCTCCTTATGAGCATCTGGGCACTCGTGCTAAAATTTGGAGAGCTCATAAAGTATATGGGCTACAGCCTGACATAGACACGCTCAAT